AGGTGGTTATGCCTTAAAAGATATCTTAGTCACCAAAGCCTCCTTGTTCTATGAAAATGTCTGAGACAGCTTGCAGTTTGTGTTACCCCCCGTCTCCCCCCGAAATGTTCTTTGACTATTGTGCAGCTGTAACTGTTCTGCAGCTACGTGACCTTGGTTGCTTATCTTCCCCTCTCTTCACCCATTGGTTGAAATACTAAGCACTCAATGGACTACAGACATACCATATTGAGAATATGATGGATAGCCGATTGGTTAACATTCTTATGCTTCATTATAATATACATGTTGGATTGGATGTTGTGCAGCACACCTTATTAGAATATGTACCTCCCAGTTCCTCTTTATATTCCCCGAGCTTTGCCCAAATAAACGAGCTTGATCAGCATTTGTCTTGCTCCACGTCTCCGTGTCTTTCTTTCCATCCAGGTTCGTCTTTCCCTCCAGGGTCCTGCTCGTGCGTCCCGCTGGCCGGGACGCTACGCTGCACCGTGGGTGTGGGCGCTCTCCATGGGCGAGAGAGACCTCCGGAGCTAAGTGCGTCCCCGGGACCAGAACAACACAACTTCAGCACCAAGGCCACATGGGCTGAGCGCGGTCTGGAGTACTCGAGGAGTGCGCCTACGACCCCAAAGGGGCCCCAACACCTCCACCATCGATGGCTTTTCTGCCGCGTGGCCAACCGAGGCCCCAGCCTCCAAATTCCTCGGACTGTCGGCCAGCAGAAGAGGGGCTACTTTGACGACCGCTGCCCCACCGCCCCTCCGGACCCCAACTGGGGCCCCTTCCTTCGCAGGCACAGAAGCCCTCCTGACGCAGGTCTTCTCAATGAGGCGGGCAATGAGCCCTCCCAGGAGAGAAACTACACCGACTAGACCTCCAGCCGCCAAGCCCCTCCCAGCTCTACTCCCCCACCCCTCACGTCCCGCCAACCCCCCCACTAGTTCCTACTAGCTGTACCTCCAAAGACATCACACCAAGGTCTTTTTATTCCTCGTGCCCAATTAATATCACTTGTCTTTTTGTAATCTCATCACATCCTCTCTCTCTCTCTCTCTCTCTCTCTCTCTCTCTCTCTCTCTCTCTTTCTCTCCCTGAAGGATTAGGACTAGTGCGTTAGTGGGGTCGGGGCCCATGACCACTGCTTCCATTAACCAGGTGTGTGTGTCCAGTCGGCACAGCTACCTGGACCGAGAGCCTGTGTCTTCGAAGGGAGCCTTAGGACTTCTTTCTTTGAGGTAGTTGCAATGGGGGTGTGGGGACAGGGCCTGACGCATTCTGCGGTTAGGTCAGGATTTCCTTCTTTGGGTGGGAAATGTCATTTCTTAAAAAGAATATCACCAACTTGATGTTAAAAGTTGGAGGGGAGGGGTAAGAGAGGGACGGGAGGGGCCTTGGTCACACAGTCCCTGCTTAAGGGAAACAGCCCCGGCCGGAAGATTCAACTCAGAATAAAGTAAATAGACCCCTACCTTAAGAGAAGAAAAAGTTCTTAACACACATCAGAGCAGTACTTTTTATATTTAAATATAAAAACATATGTATAGGTGTGCAGATATGTGTGTGTTTTAAAGGAACATCACTAGGAGAAGTGAAGGTCTCCTTGTGAGAAGGAATGGGGCAGGCAGGGCACTGGAGAGGCTCTCCACCCACCCTTTCAGTAGCAGGTGGAAGGTTATCAGCAGCAGTCACCTGAGGCCCTGTTGCTTCGGTTTATGGCATTTATGGGTGTGATAGGTTTATTGTGCCACCCTGGCCAATAGGAACATGTGGCATTAATCAGGTCACAGTTTGATTGGAGGGCAAAGAGATAAATGTGCCTCCCCCCCCCACCCTTGCTCTCTGGTGAGAGCAGTGTGCTGCTGCTTTAGCTAGATCTCTGCCTCAACCTGTATGCTACACTACCTGTGGTACAAACCAACCCATGGATCCTGTCGCTAGAGTTGAGGATCCATCAAGATCTGCTTCACCACACTGCTGACATGTACATCTCTTGAGCTTGAGGCTGGTGGATCCTGTCTCATTGCATTGCTTGAGTTCGATATCCCATTTGGGCCTACTTCACTAAGCTCCCAAACTGTGACTGCTTGCCTTTGGGCAGACTCTGCCTGCCTTGCCTGGGGGAGGGCTCCACTGTCTCCTTCCTTTACCTTGGACCCAGTCGCCCACATGAGCTGAAGGACTTCCAGTAGATTAACTGTTCCATGAAAGTGAGTTGAACTGAGCCCTCTGTACTGCTGTTTGGACTAATTAGCTGTTATATTCCTTTTTACTGTATAAACCTATATATATATTCACAAGTGTCCTGATTTTGTTTCCCTAGAGAACCCTGCCTAATTCAATAAGACACACATGGACTTGTACATGCACACACACACAGGTGTAGACATACTAGTTGGCTGGTAAACGTAAAGCATGTTACCAACAAAGGGGTTCTTGGGGTTATTTTCTGGTAGGAGTAGCATGCCACTAAAGCAGATCTTTTGCTATGTGAAAAAAATGTAAAGCACAAGTTTAGATTGTAATCATGTTTTGAGTTGCCAAGTATTTTGCAGAATTGCTTGTTTGCTTCCAATGTCTTCCTCGTCATCTCTGATGTTTGAGATGTGGACAGGATGGAAGGCAAGCGCTTGTCATTTGTGTTCCGGAGTCTCCTGGGGTAAAAAATAACAACTTTCCTTTGTAAAGATGTGTGTGTGTGTGTGTGTGTGTGTTTGTGTTAGGTGTGTTGTATAACTTTAAGAAAAACCACACCCTCATCCCATCCCTTATTTACTCTACGACTCTCTATTTTTTGTTCTTGGCTGCAGCCAGCAGGCTGAAGCTCCCTCTTCCCACGGCAGCTCCTGATTGCCATGTGCAGCATGTGCAGGCCGATGACTTTTCACTGTAACCAAGCTCTGTAACTGCCCAGAGGAGCAACCACAGCTCCGCCTCGCGTTCCCAAGAGAAGAAAGAACCTCACACAGATCTCTTGGCCCTGAGCAGATGCCCAGTGAAAGTCTTTTCTCTTCCATCCCCTTTCTTTCAGGAATAAACACTCTTCCACAATAAGAGGGGACCTTTGGGTAAAGAGAGTAAGTTGGTATTTTTTGAAGCCGTGGCTTTGGGCACTCGGTCATAGCAGCAGGAGAGAAGTAAGGTGGTGCTGCTATAAGTCGGTTATAGCAGCCCTAGAGAAGTAACGTGGTATTGCAGCTGTTTTTGTTCGTGGTGTGGCCGCTAGCCAATTCCAACTCATAATAACCCTGAATGACACACTGGCACTTCCCCAAAGGGTCTCTCTCCTGAGCTGTTATCTCCACAGGAGCAGATTTCCGGTTCCGGGTCCTTTCCCTAGCACAGCATTGAGACTGACCACTCGGCTTTTGGTTCACAACGGGTCACTTCACTGTCCCACCATCTGGGCTTCATGGGAACCACGTCTCACACCAAACTCAACACTTAGGACAACTTTACAGGTCACGCGACTGGTGTTAGGTGTCATCCCCTCACTTCCAATATTTTTAAGACTGTTTTATGGGGACATATTTCACAATCATATAATGCAATCGTGCAATCCTATCTGGAAGAGTTGTACAATCATCACCACACTCCGGTTTGTTTGTGGTTTTTTTTTTTTTTGGACAGGTGAAATTTTAATGAAACTTCTGAATATAATTAAAATGTGGGGTTTTTTTTAAATCGTTTTATTAGGGGCTCATACAATTCTTATCACAATCCATACACACATCAATTGTGTAAAGCACATTTGTACACTCATTGCCCTCATCATTCTCAAAACATTTGCTCTCCACTTAAGCCCCTGGCATCAGGTCCTCATATTTTCCCTTCCCTCCCCGCTCCCCCTCCCTCATGAACCCTTGATAATTTATAAATTATTATTTTGTCATATCTTGCCCTACCCGATATCTCCTTTCACCCACTTTTCTGTTGTCCATCCCCCAGGGAGGAGGTCCCATGTAAATCCTTGTAATCGGTTCCCCCTTTCCAACCCACCCTCCCTCTACCCTCCCAGTATCGCCACTCACACCACTAGTCCTGAAGGGATAATCCGCCCTGGATTCCCTGTGTTTCCAGTTCCCATCTGTACAATGTACATCCTCTGGTCTAGCCAGATTTGTAAGGTAGAATTGGGATCATGATAGTGGGGGAGGAGGCAGCATTTAGGAACTAGAGGAAAATTGTATTTTTCATTGCTGTTACATCACACCCTGACTGGCTCATCTCCTCCCCAAGATCCTTCTGTAAGGGGATGTCCAGTGGCCTACAGATGGGCTTTGGGTCTCCACTCTGCACTGCCCCCATCATTCACAATGATATGATTTTTTTGTTCTGATGATGCCTGATACCTGATCCCTTCGACGCCTTGTGATCGCACAGGCTGGTACACTCCGTTTTGATCATTTTTTTCTTTCTTGTGCTCCTCATTCTCCCTCAACCTCCCCGGCCCTACCCCCAGAAACCACTTATCCAGACATTGTCTCTTTAGCTCCACCCATTCTGGATATCATATACTGAGAAACATAGAAAATCAAAGAAACAAACAAACAAAAGCTACCAACAAATAACAGAATAAAGCAGAGGAAAACCTCAATGGAAAAGAAAGCAGGACAATATTAAAAACGAGAACAACTTTAAAATGGGTCCAAAGGACCCTGGATCGCCAGAAAAAAGAAAAAAAAACAAAAACGATCTGTTCTGGAAGAAGTGCAGCCGGAGAGCTCCTTAGAAGCCAGGGTGGCAAGACAACAAGACGACGTCTCACGTGCTTATCAGGAGGGAGCAGCCCTGGAGAAGGACACTGGGTGTGGTAAAATAGAGGGGCACCAAAAAAGAGGCAGGCCCTGGGTGAGATGGATGGACACAGCGGGAGGATGGGGCAGAGCAGGGCAGTGCTGTGGGCAGCCGGAGAGAGAGGATCGTTGGCACCTACCAACAGCCTACGGTGACGGAATGAGTCATGGAAACCGTGGTCAAGAAAGCAAGGGCACATTGGCTGGGACTCAAAATGCCAGGGGTGACTTTATTACAGAGACGTCAAGGGGGGCTGTGGGGAAACTGAGTTTTCACTGCAGCCAGGAATCTCCCGCCAGTGGAGAAGTTGGGGAGCAGGTCTCAGAGGAGAAGGGGGTCTCCGGAGGAGGATGGGAACTGAGCAAAGGGGAAACTATTAGAGAGTGGGGCTGGGTGGCAACAAGGTGCCCAAGTCCCCAGGGCTCTGTGGGCTGGGGGTGCAGGGGCGCTTAGGGGATCCAGCAGGAGGTCGAGGGCTTCTCACAGATCCAGAAGTTGTTGGTGTTGCACGGGCTGTCGTTCCAGCCCCCCTTTAACAGTTCCACACAGTCCTCTTCCCCAATGTTGTTGGGCTCGCCCTTTATCCAGAAGCTGTGAACCCCATCAGAGCCATGAGCCCCACCACCACCTGACCCACCACCCGCCCTAACGGCCTGGGCCCTGAGTTTGGAACGGTGGCCTTTCTAGGACCAAGGGCGGTGCCGAGGGGCTCAGAGCTCAAACAATGACCCCTCCCTCCAACCAGCTCTGTGAGGTGAAAATGAGGCTCCCCCGGGGCCCTGACCAGAATCAGAGTCCTTCAGGAGGTGACCAGGGCGCTGCATATCTTTCAGGTGCCCGGGCTTTGCTCCTGGGCTGGGGGTGGCCCTCCCAGATCTTTCTCTCCGGGGTTCACCTGGTCTTAAGCGGGGTGTTGTCCACCCAGTGCCACTTGCCCTCACTGTGGACGTCGGTGAGACCGATCCAGGTACGTTCATATTTCCCAGTACTCCAGAACTTCAGGAAATCCTGCAGGGGAGGGGGCATCAGGAGGAGTCCCTTCTGCAGTCTACCCTCCAGCGCCCCCCGCCCCCACCCCACCCCGTTGCGCTGTGCGTGCTACAGCTGTGAGCGGAGGTGGCCCGGGTGTGTCTAGGGGCACGTCTGCGGAGGGATCGCGGATGATTCCCAAGGGTCCCGGCGTGTCCCGCCCACGTGACCTCCCCAGGCTTGCGAATCCTCCCCAGGCAGTCTTTGCTGATTGCATCTGGGCCACCACCGCTCAGAAGGCGGCGGAGGGGGGTAGAAGGCCTTTGGCTGACCAGTGGCAGGGGCCAGTGCCAGGGGGGAGCCCTGCGGGGCCCACCTGCTCGTCGGCACTGTCGATGATCACGAGCTGGGCCCCTAGGCCCTGACAATTGGAGGCAGCAGTGTCCCATGTTGTCGGCGTCTGGGAGAGGAAGTAGCAATTGTTGCGGAAGACTTCCCAGTTCCAGGCGCAGGGTCGGCACAAGCCAGCTACAGGGGAGGAGCAGGGCAGACAGACATGCCACTGGACCCCTTTGCATCAGCCCGTGGGAATCCTGGGGAGCGGATGGGGAGGGGGTGGAGAGGCAGGGCCCCTGTAGTTTTGGACCCACTCAGTGCATCCATGAGAAAGAGCTCAGCTCTGTCATGGTCCCCCACCACCACCACCAGGACACGCGGCTGCAGAGGCAGGTCCTAAGCCCACCATGGGCCCCCGAGATCTCTCACCCAGGGAGGCATTCAGCCAGGTGAGCTGTTGGAGGATCCCCTGCATCTCCTGAACTGCTGGGGAGGAAGGAGGGAAGAAGGGGAAGGTCGGTCGCCTTCGGGCAAGCACCTTCTGTGCAGCGTTGTGCAGAGGAGGCCCCGGGAGAACACCAGGACACAGCGCTCACAGGGACTCCCCTGGTCCATTTCACAGCCGAGAAAACTGAGGCCACAAAACTAACTTGCCCAACCACCACCCTCAGGTCCAATCTCCTCCCCTGCTCCTGTGTCCCATCCTTCCCCCAGGGCTTGTTGGGATTCATACTGCACCAACACCCCACCCCACTTAGGACCCCAGCATCCAGCCCTTCACCTGTTCTGTTGTCCCCTTGGTGGTCCCCGGGTCCCTCCTGGGGGCCCAGGAGACAGCACCTGGGAGAAGGAGGGGCTCTGAGGGAGCACCTGGTGTGTGCTCATTACCCGAGTTTAAGAACAGGGCTTCTCTAGGGCTCTCAGTGCCCTAACCCACACCCCATGGTGCTGTAAGGGACTTGCATGAGGCTCAAAGATGGGCTGTGGGGCCCCCTCCTGCTCAGGACCAGAGTGTCCAGCCCCTTACCTAGACTGGCATTCCCTGGGTGGTCCCCCTTCTCCCTCTGCAGGGCTTCATGGATCCTGTAAACTGTAACAAAACACAGCACCCCTCCTTCCAGAGCGCTGACTGTACACCTGACCCTGTGCCTGCCCCGGCCCCATCCTCTCGGAGAGCCCAGGCCCCCAGTGCAGACACAGTCAGCATTTCACAGGACAGAGGACAGGCTCAGACAGGGACAGTGCCCTGCGCGTGGTCACACAGGAAGGCAGATGGAGCCCGGGCACTCAGTCCTGGTGGGTTTAGGGACTCTGGAAAGGACAAAGGCCATCCAACAGGGAAAACCCAAGGGACCCAGGACCCCTTTCCCCCAGCACTGGCAGGCCCAGCCCCGCACTCACCTTGCACCTGGGTGGCCACCAGGAGCACAAAGATCAGACCCAGAGAGACAAGAAGCAGCAGCAGAGGAAGGGTGACTCGGGCCAGACAGCCTGCAGGACCGGCAGAGCTGGAGCTCAGGGACAGAGTTCTCTGTGCCCCTCCTGGAGAGGCCTCCATCTGCCCACCTCCCCAGGCCCTGCCTCGGACCACCCACCAGACACAGTACCTGCTATGCTCCTGGGACAATGCATCTGTAAGGCTCCAGGGCCTTTCTCCATGGGTCTCTGGCCCCAGAATGTCACCTCTGAACGGGGTCAAACATAATCCCAGTGAGCTGCCCGTCCACCCCTGCCCTAAGACTGGAAGCTCAGAGACACACACACACACACACACACACACACACCTGTCTCATTCTGGAGGCTAGCCAAAACTTCCCCTGAGCCCCTGTGGCGCTCTCTCTCTCTCTCTCTCTCTCTCTCTCTCTCTCACACACACACACACACACACACACACACACACACACACACACACTCACCGGAGCTTCTTGGCTCATTGAGGTATTCGTTCTCCATCATGTTCAGCTCTCCCCTGCTCCTCCCTGCCCACCCTTTCACTGGAAGGTGATTGTTTTATTGCCCATCAGCACCACTCCTCCATCCCTGTTTACAGAGAAGAAAAACAAGGAAGTGCTTCCCCCAGCACACCACACCCCCCGGAAAGGTGGGGCCGGGGATGAGGTGCCTGGCACAGTGCCAGAAGACACGTGTTCCAACCGGGATCCAGCCTTGACCTTGACCCCACAAGGCCCATCACCTTTTCAGTGCCTGGGTTTCCTCCTCAGCGGCCGAAGGGGATAGCAACTGCTTTGCACTGTGGTAGTGGCATTTTACAGCTCCATTTTTCTATTTACATTTTCCTTACACCAGTGGTTCTCAACCTTCCTCATGCTGCGACCCTTCAATACATTTCCTCCTGTGGTGACCCCCCCCCACCATAAAAATATTTCCGTTGCTACTTCATCACTGTCATTTTGCTACTGTGATGAATCGGGCAACCCCTTTGAAAGCATCGTGTGACCCCCAAAGGGGTCACGACCCACAGGTCAAGAACCGCTGTTTTACACCTTTGTTGTTGTCGAGACTACAGGCATCCGAGCACAGCCCCGTGCAATGGTGTCCATGCATACACTTCAGGGGCATGCCTTCCTTTCTTTGACCTGGACAATTGTTCTCCCAGCACCCTTCTCTACCCAATTGCTCCTCTCCAGGGAGGTCAACTCCCTGTCCTTTCAGCTTCCATCGAATCTTTCAATGTTTGTCAATTTGATCTCCTAGAGCTAAGGTCTTAAAAGAGTACAGGCTCAAGGCAGACCGCCTCTACTAATTCAACTAAGCTGCTGTTTAAGAATGGGAGTAATGAGCCAGTCAGGAGGATGTGTAGCAATGATGAAACATGCAACGTTCCTCTAGTTATTTAATACTCCCCACCCCCCACTATCCTGATCCCAATTCTACCTTACAAATCTGGCTAGACCAGAGGATGTACATGGGTACAGATAGGAACTGGAAACACAGGGAATCCAGGACAGATGATCCCTTCAGGACCAGTGGTGAGAGTGGCGGTATGAGAAGGGTGAAGGGAAGGTGGGGTAGCAAGGGGGAATGGATTATAAGGATCTGCACATAGCCCCCTCCCTGGAGGATGGACAACAGAAAAGCGAGTGAAGGGAGACATCAGGCAGTGTAAGATATGACAAAATAATAATTTATAAATTATCAAGGGTTCATAGGGGGGAGGAGTGGCGAGGGAGGGGGAAAATGAGGAGCGGATGCCAGGGGCTTGGGTGGAGAGCAAATGTTTTGAAAATGATGAGCACAACGAATGTACAGATGTGCTTTACCCAATTGATGTATGTACGGATTGTGATAAGAGTTGTATGATCCCCCAATAAAATGATTTTTTAAAAAGAATGGGAGTAATGATTCCCTGAGAATACAGCAAGAGAGGGGAGTGGAAGAGGGAGAAGGCGGAACTGGTAGCAACAATGACAATATAACCCCACTCGAGGGGAACGAATAACAGAATGGTAGATGCACGGATACATGGGGTGGTGTAAGATATGGCAACAAAAAAAAATAGCAAAATAAAAAGAAATAACAATAATGATAATATTTAATATAACAACAAGGGTTCCTGGGGGGGTAGAGTGGGGGAGGCCGGGGATAAAAGGGAGCTGATATCAAAGAGTGCAAGAAGAACGAAGATGTTTTGAAAATGACGGTGGCAGCAATTGTACCATCAGGCTCGGTCGAATTGAACTATGGATTGTCATAATGTCTGTAAGAGTTCCCAATAAAAATGGAAACACTGCCACAACCCTGCACCATCCTCACAATGGTTCTATGCCTGAGCCATTGAGGCAGCCACTGTGTCCATCCATCTCCCTGAGGGCCTTCCCCTTTGTCGCTGCCCCTCCATTTTAGCAAACTCGATGTCCTTCTCCGGGGACTGGTCTCTCCTGACAGTATGTCCAAAGTCTGGAAGACCTTGCATTCTGGTCTTACGTCTTCCAATACAGAGCAGTTGTCCTTTGAGCAGTCCATGGTACTTTCAACGTTCTTTTCCAGCAACCACAATTTAATGGAGAATACCGTCGCTTGGGCCAGGCACACCTTCGTCCCCAAATTAATGTCCTTGCTCTTCAATAAATTTGCGCAATAAATTTACCCAAGGTGGTGCATCTTTTGACCTCTTGACTGCTGTTTCCAGGAGCATTGACTAGGGATCCAATTAAGACAAAATCCTTGACAACATCAACCTTTTCTCCATCTATCATGATGTTACTACCTATTGGTCCCAGTGTGAGGATTTTGATCTTCCTTACATTGGATTCATTGAATTGTAATCCGTATTAAGGGCCACAATCCTTGACTTTCATAATCATGTGTCTTAAGTCCTCCTCACTTTCAGCAAGCAAGGTCAGGTCATCTGCATTCCGCAGGTTACTAAGCCTGCCTCCAAACCCGATGCTGCACTCACCTTCATAGAATCCAGCTTCTCTGATGGTCAGCTCAGCATAGAGATTGAACAAGTGTGGTGAGAGGATACAACCCTGACGCACACCTTTTCCGATTTTAAACCATGCGGTATTCCCTTGTTATGTTCGCACGCTGCCTTTTGATCCGTGTACAAGTTCCTCGTGAGTACGATGAACTGGTATGGAATTCTCGTTTTTCTCAAGGTGATCCACAGCTTATTATAGCCCACGCAGTTGACTGCCTTTGCAAAGTCAATGAAGCACATGTAAACATCTTTCAGGTAGTCTGTGCTTTGAGTTAATGTCCATCTGATATCAGCAATGATATTCCTTGTTCCACATCCTCTTCTGGAACTGGCCTGAATTTGGGGCAATTCCCCGTCAATACGCTGTTGCAACCATTGGTGAACAATCTGAAGTCGAATTTTACTTGTGTGCGATATCGATGATAGTGTTCTATAGTTCAGGCATTCTATTGGGTCGCCTTTCTTTGGAATGGGTACAAATATGGATCTCTTCCAGTCAGTTAGCCAGGTAGCTGCTTCCAAATTTCCTGGCAGAGGTAAGTGAATGCTCCCAGTGCTTTTCAGATTTCTGAAACATTTCAATGGTTATTTCATCAATTCTTGGACGCTTGCTTTTGACTCATCCATTCAGTGTTGCCTGAACTTCTTTCAGCACCATTGGTTCTTGCCCATCTGCCACCGCCTGCAATGAAGGACTGTTGACTAGTTCTTTCTGGCACACTGACTGGGTAGTCTTTCCATCTTCTCCTGATGCTTCCTGCATTGTTTCATATTTTGCCTCGAGAACTTCCGAAATTGCAATTTGAGGTTTCAAATTTTTTCTTGAGTTCTTTCCGCTTCACGTGTGCTTGTTCTTCCCTTTCTGTTTTCTAAGTCTATGTCCTTGCACTTTTCGCCATAATATTTGACTAGAGCTGACCTTTGAAATGTTCTCTTCAGCTCCTTGACTTTATCCTGGCTTCCATTTGCTTTCGCTCCTCTGTGATTAATAGCAGGTTTCAGTCTTTTCTGACATCCACTTTGACCTTTTCTTTCCTTCCTGTCTTTTTAATCGCCTTTTGCTTTCTTCTTGAATTGTGTTTTTGATGTCCTCCCACAACTCATCAGGTCCTTGTCATGAGTGTTCAATGCATCAAAAAGCTGTCCTTGAGATGTTCTTGAAATTCAGGTGGGAAAGACTCAAAGTTGTATTTTGGCTCCTGTAGACTTCTTTTCATTTTCTTCAGCTTTATCCTGAATTTACATGTGAGCACTTGACGGTCTACAGGCTGACCCTGGTCTGGTTTTAGCTGCTAATATTGAGCTTCTCCATCGTGTCTTCCCACAGAGGTAGTCGATTTGATTTCTGTGCATCCCATCTAGGAAAGTTCATGTAAACATTCACCTTTTGTGTTATTTTAAAAGGGAATTTGCCCCAACTACATGGACAGGTCCCCCTCCCTGCAGAAGAATTCACCTCAGAGGACAGCACTGAAGCAGCAGCTCAGGGAGAGGGACGTGTCTGATCAGAGCACACAGGAGCAAATGATGGGGGAGGAAGAGTGAGTGGAACACATCCTGGCCCACCAAGCCCTGAGGACAATATTCCTGCTCAGAGCAGGCAAAGCACAGCGAGGACCATAGGGCCAGACCCACTATGAGACACGGACGTCCCTCGCTGATCCCATAGCGCTACAGGGGACAACACTGGAGACACAGTGCGGGAATTGCACCCAACCTAACCCCACCACACTGAGGCAAAACACTAGGTTCATGCAACAGAACAGCAAGGGGAGCAGAACAATGAAGTTCCCAGGGAATATCAAAAAGAGACGTTGGGGCTAGGGAGTGGCATCCCATCACACTTGACCAGAAAACAGACCTTGAACTACTTACAGGTTTTTTTCTTTTTTTGCCATTTTTTTCTTGTTGTTTTGTTGTCTTTTGCTGCTTTGTTTTGCTCTGTCTTGCTTTTTGTGCATATTATTATCTCTGCAAGTCTATCCAAATAAGATAGGTGGGATAAACAATCTCAGGAGAAAACAATGGGACTAACGGTTCTGGGGGGCCAGGGCATGACATCCCATCAGACTCCACCGGAAAACACTCCTAAAGGTCAACAAACAGACCTTGAACTATTTAGAGGTTTTTCTTCTCTCTCTTCTTTTTTAATCATTGGTTTGTTGTTGTTGTTCTTGTTTTGTTTTCTTTTGCTGCTTTGTTTTTTGTGCATTATTATTATCTCTGCAGTTCTATCTAGATAAGATAGGCGGGATAAACAATCTGGAGGGGAAAACAACAGGACTGAGGCTTCTGTGGGGGGCATGGGAGAGGAGGAGGTGGGGAAAGGAAGTGGGTGTTAACAAACCCAGGGACATGGGAACAACAAGTGATCCAAAATCAATGATGAGGAGGGTGTAGGAGGCCTGGTAGGGCTTGATCAAGGGCAATGTAAACGAGAGGAATTACTGAAACCCAAATGAAGGCTGAGCATGATAATGGGACAAGAGGAAAGTAAAAGGAAATAGAAGAAATAACTAGGAGGCAAAGGGCATTTGTAGAGGTCTAAATACA